GAACTCAAAAAAACATTCTACCTTATTTATGATCGAAGCCGCCAATGCGAAGAACATCACTGGTTACACTTTATTTCCCACTGAAGAAGAAGTGATATTACCCATGGGGACCAAATTACGCGTGCGCAGTAATGTCATGATGCATGGTAATATACGTGTCGTTCATTTGGTGGAAATAAGCGATGGCGTTAAAGAAGTATCAACAGCAATGGATGCCACATGTACCGCACCTGAACCCTCCATCCCAACAAAACCATCCAGTAAGTTCTTCATTCTATATTTTCTTATATAGAACTAATGTATCTCATGCATAATTGTTGAGAATACGAGTGAATGTATATATGTTGCTCTGGTTTCTGGTGAATGAATTCAAATTTAGAGTTGGCTAGATCTCTGCTTCGTGAGAATGGTAAGTGGTTTCTTGTATAAAAGCCAGAACCAAACGTCAAAAGTGTCTTGAAAGCTGGTAGCACGTTGAAATGTACCACGCCTTCTATTAATCCTCATGATTTTGTATTCGATCTTGAGGGTATGATTACGGTAGGTGCTGATGTAGATGAAGAAGAGACACCCAGTCACCCACACTCAGCTCGATGCATATTTGAGACTAATAAATTTAGTTAGATTGTGATGAGAGATCAATTTTTGACGTTATCTGTTTTTGATCGGTTTCAATTTCGTATCGCAGTTTCTTAATTTATTTGAGAGAACGAATAAAAAACAGTCACAGTAATTAGTAGTTATATCAACACAGAGACGGTACGGTATGGAATGCCGGATTGAATGGTTCTCCCGCATAAAACTACTGCTTCGAAACATTAAATAATTTCATTTTCAAGACGAATTTATCAGAACCATGTTCCGTTTTATTTTCATTAGATAAAGATACATCGCATGTGGTCGCTCATAAGTGAGCACTAGAATTAAGGTATAACAACTCTACAATCATTCTCTTACCGCACTCAGTTGTGTTTGTTAAACTTTACTTGTGATCAGAGGGCATGCACTATCTTTAAGAACAAAATCGTGACTACCTCTGTGGCTATTCTCTCAATAAATAAAACGATAATTAATGTTTTCTTTCTATTAATTATCTCCAAATAGCACTAATTTGAACAACTCTCTTGATATAAAAACGTATTCCAGGAAATGAATCAGTACAGAGACTATGTTCCTTTGAGTAACGGAATAGATTGATCATCCACGATAAAAGATGAAAGCTTCTTCGGTGTGTGGGGAGGTCCTGGGTGTAATATATCTGTTGAAAAAAGTATTCTTCTTCTTTTCACTAGATATTCTTCCTATTTTTAAAGAGCGTTACTATTCTCATAGTACTGGGATTTTTACATAACGTGTCTGATGCTTATATTAATGGTTAATGCACTGTAAATAACTATTCAGGTGCATTAATAACTGAAATGAGCTGTGAACGTGCCATAATAAAAGTCCTAGTGTTTTACGAATAATAATGCTCTCTAAAAAACTGAATAAAATGCAAAGTTTTATCTAATATCACTGTTCAGAGAAGTTGTCCTCCAGTAACGAATAAAAGTCTATTGGTCTATTAGACTATATCGCTTTGTACAGGATCTCATGGAAAATCTTCTATAAAAAAAGATAAAGTTTCAACAATGAAAATTGTCCAGGACATTAACAAAACACTGAAAATCTACTCATTCTGTCACGCCCGTAATTTTTTATTTTTTCTGAGCAATATTTCTTAGTCTGTAGCTTTTTTATTATACGAGCCGGTGTGACCAGCCAATAAGTCAGTTTGTAGAGTATGCTCTACTACATCTTTTCGGCAGACCGATAAACTTAAAAATAAGTGTTTTATTAAAAAAACTTATTATCCAAATCCAGACTTCATGTCTGAACTACCTTTTATCGCGATTACAAACTCATTCAGATGCATCACACCTACCTTTATCTAAAATTGTTTCTGATGTACTAGAGCCGAAATCAGAGCCAGCGAAACAAAGTATGTTGCTTAGAATGTGATAGTCATTTGCGTTAAAAGAAACACTTCATTCGTCCTAGCGCTTCTGCTGTATTTGATGGCAAATCAACTCGGTCAGGCATGCATCAATTAACGCTACAATGAAAGAATTCTATCTCACTGATTGAATACATGGATCCTTTTTGAAACGACTATGCGTAACGTTTCGTTGCACATCTTTTCTGCGATACGCTACAGTGTCGAATATCAACTGAACCCACCATTGTCTCATGCTCTTGCTCTTGAGTTGCATAGCGAGCAATTGTTGACCGTGAGAAGGATTGGCACAGCATGTGTCACAAAGTATTGAGATGGGTGTGGATGTATCTTTTCGTAACCTTCAGCGACACCCACACCCCGATTAATCCTTTTTTTCACTTCCTCTGTCAAAAATGCGGCTTCTTCTCTATACCAGTAGCACATACCGGGTGTGAAATAAAACTATGTTTCTCAAATATTAGAGCGTATCGGCACGAAATTCCTGAACCACCCGTCTATTAAGTGCACACACCATTTATATAAAGACACGACATTATCGTTGTCGCTTTCTCTTATACGTCCAAAATAAGACTAATATTTCAATAGTCCTTAGTATTTTAAAATTCTCATAATTAAAAAATGTTGATGATTCTCAAATTTCTAAATACCTTAAATTCCACAATGCTGAAAATTTTTGAAACTAATTATCCCAAAAGTTTCGATTACTGTAAAGTAGGAACTCTTTGTTCACTTTTAGAAAATGCGAATGTCTCGAAGATTTTAAAATCGCAAAATTCTCAAATCTATAGCGAGTTCTATTCAGAAAATGTGGAAAATTCTTTAATATCGACTGTTAAATGACTCCAATTACATGCATTCTCTAACGCTTTCTTAAAAGTATTTCTTTGTAAACGAGAATAATTTTCCCATCGAATGATCCTGTAGTCCACTACTGAGATAATTTCGAGTTTACCATGATTCTCCGAACATACTTCTTATAAAATAATCATTAGTGTCGTGTATGATTTTGTGACTACTTAATATTTTCATTTAGAACCTCAAGAATTTGCTGCACCTGGCACGTTCAAGGAACTTCTTTGTAAAGGTCATTCGTGTGCAAAGTGCCACAAGTGTCGTGATTGGCATTTCACTGGTGATCAAGACACATGGAATTGGGTCTGCAATTACGAAAATTGGAAAGTGGAGGATAAGAATCGTTGGTGTATTGGTAGTTGGAAGTTTTTTACGAAACTTAATGATGGTAGTTGGAAGTTTTTTGCGAAACTTGATGCTGGTTATGAGCTTTTTACGAAACTTGATGGTGCAACCTGTGGTCATTCTAGTCTTGATTTTGATCGTATTGCTAGTATTTTTGGCGGTTTTGCTTTTGATTTTGATCGTTCTTTTCTTGGTTTTGATCGTTCTCGTCTTTATCTTCTTCATGTCTGTCTCTGTGAGAAACAATAAGCTTCTTTATGAGTATCATGAAATGTCTCTTTGCTACTATTGCTGTTGTTGTACTAATATGTATAGTTGAATAAAAATCGAAGAGTAAAAAGAAATAGGTCTCACCCGCAGCTAGGAGTAGATCGAATGCGAGCAGTCGTTTGGGAGGCGACCGAGGGCCCCACTTCGCGACTGCGACGGTAGTTAAATGTTTATAATAGACGTCGTTAGTGTACGGTATATATTTGCCTAATAGTTATGGAAAATTTGATAAATTAATCCGAAAAAGTACGTAGAATTGTTTGTAACAAATTTTAACATGTTGAACCGTACGAAGTAGCGTATAATATGGCGATAACAAATAGAAATGAAAACAAGCTAATGAGACATTATACGTAGTGAAGAATCTTTCGAACTATTGAAAACTGTGATTTATTGATATGGTCATAGAGGAATAGATGTATTTATCGAAATAAAGTATTGGATAATGCGAAGTATTTTTTAGAGAAACATTATGAAGGATTGTATTTATTTAGAAGAAATTTAAATTTTTCTTTGCATGCCTGCATTAACAGAACATGGCAGTTATTGAATGTAGTTTTGAAAAATTATTTCCTTTTACTTATCGATAGATTTTTTTACATGTTTCTACCAGGAAGCGAATGATTATTTTAAATAATCAGTTAAAGTATTTCTTTTAGAAGTCAGGTATTATGATCTTATGTTATGAAAAGATAATCGACAATATTGCTCAAGTTTTTACTTGAAATGGAAAACATCATAAAATATTTATACTTTGTATATCATCTATGAACCACGCTGGAGCCGAAGAAATTTAATCATACAGAAAAGAGGGCTACTGGAGAAGCCTAAGTTTCAATGTGTTTCTATCAGTTAGTTGCAACCAGTGTGACAGCGAAAACGAATTTCTATTTTAAATCGATGGTTAACAAAAACGACAAAAATTGTAAAAGATTAGAACTTGGATTATAACTATCTACCATTTCAATTTTATTGAGTTTTTCATTTTTTGAGTGGATTGAATTAAGTTAAAATGGGAATTATTTTCCATTAATTGACATGTTTGACAGAAGAAATAAAAATATGTATATTTCTTTGTTTTCTACCTAAAACATTTAGTTTATAAAGCTCATGTAATTTCGAACAAAATATATTTTTCTGACAATCTCGTTACGAGGTAAAATGAGCTAATGCTATTATTGTTATAACTCTCAACCATAGTCAAAATTTAGAATCTTATCTAGAAGTAGTTTTGATATTCTCTCTAATCGATATAATTTTCAACAGTACTCAAGATGTGAGATTAATTAAAATTGTTTGTAGTATCCATGCTATCAATAAAATATACTCATATAAAACATCAGCTAATGATTGTGCGTATCTGGCTGAACAAAAGACTAGCTTAATATAATTATTTCGTGTTTAAAAAGAATATACATGATTTCAAGGTCATGAAGCCTTATCTATTTTCTCACAATATATATTCTAGATGAATACCGTTGTATAGAATAACATATACGACAGAGTGCTTTTAACTACTAAACATTATCATTCTTGCTCTTGAAAAGACAAAAGTATATAATGTTAAATTTACAATTGCGCTCTACATATAAATAAATAAAAATATAACTTTCAGATGCATTTTACAAAAATATTTTATAAATACCGGAAAAAAATTCTCCGTCATCATAATTATTTTCTCCTTATTGGAGCAATTATTTTTACTCATTTCTGCATTCTCCTTTCAGAAAAAAAACTTATTTATTTACATCCTCATACAGTGTTTTATCCAGCTTTTTTCGTCCGAGGGTGCAAAAATCTATCTTCGGGGTGGCAAACATAGAGTTTCAGGCGCAAAAAGCGTAATTTCTCTAAATTCCGGGGGGGGGGGGGCAGAGGTACCCTCCGAGGGGGCAAAAAGCCCCGTGCCCCCCCGCTGGATAAACCACTGTCCTCATAGACTCCCCATGTAAAAATATTTCAAGAAAAATCAGATTATAATCGGTTAAAATTTGATTAAAAATCGATTTAAACCATACACCTTTAATCGATTTTTGACATTTTTAACCGATTCTAATCAAATATAATCGAGAAAAACTCAACTTTTCTTGATTATTATGACAAACTACAATTAAAATCGATTAATAATTCACAAAAAAAATTGGTTGTAATCGATGAAAACCGAACTATATTTTTTCATTTGTCATTGACAAAAATCAAGTATAATCAATTTTTTTGTGAATTTTTAATCGATTTTAATTACAGTTTTTCTCGGTTATATCCGATCAGAATCGTTAAAAATGTCAAAAATCGATTAAAGGTGTATGATTTAAATCCATTTTTAATCAAATTTTAACCGATTATAATCATTTTTCAGTCGATTTTCACGTCAATATTTTTTACATGGGTTTTTCCCAGAAAAAACTTGTATATCATCATTGCTGCATTCTCGTTAGCAGACGTATTTTTCTTATTCTCATTCCGATTCTCTCCTTCTTGAAAAAAACGTGTTTCTTTTTACTTTAGTCTGTTACGCAAAAACAACTTGTCTATCAACGTTCTTACATTCTCAATATCGGAAGAAATATTTCTTGTTGTCATTGTTACATTTTTTTTCCGAAAAAGAATTTATTTATTCTTGTCATCAGACTCTTTCCCGGAAAAAAACTTGTCTATCATCGTTCTTACACTCTTAATATCGGAAGGAATATTTTTTGCTCGCATTGTTACATTTTCCTTTTCTGAAAAAAATATTGTCACTCTCGCACGAATAGAAAGAGATTATTTCATAAGTAAGTAGAAAGTAGTAACTGTAGTGTTATTTTTTTGTGTCTTTCGGTGGATAGATATAAAAAGCGAAGACGAATTCGAGTGGTTATCGATTCAGTAGAGCTTCCAACTGGTTGTGATAGTAAGGGTGAGCAAAACAGTCTCATCTTCTTGAAAGTGTGGGTGTGGGACGGGTGAGGATAGCATATCTCCACATCGGTGTCACCTTCACCCACAATCTCACCCACCCTTTATTTCGTTTAGATGGCAGAGATATCTCAAAAAGACGGTGCCACCTTCGAAGCTACCTATGTGTTAGAAATGAGCGCATTAACTACTACTGATCTTGCTCAAGAAAATACAACGGATGTAGCATTAATCTGGTTCGATTCGACTATGAATGCAAGTGATGAGAATGAAAAGATTAAAGATCTTTTGATGATTAATAATTTTGTTCGCGTTTATATCGATCTTGATTTATGTATCACGTATATCAAATCAGAAAAAGAAAAAAAGATTTTTCTGATTATTTCGGGCAACGATGCATTCAATCTACTCCCGAGTATTATCGAGTCTTCCCAATTAGATCTAATATTTATTTTTCCTGGAAATCAAAATGAATTTAATCATTTATGTGAAGATTATGTTAAAGTTGCGGGTATTTTTGACAATTACAATGAACTTATTAAATCGATTAAAGATAATATGGAATATGTTAACAGACAAATGGAAATCATTTCTTTTTATGATCAGCACCAGTACGGTACTCGTGATTTATCAGACCAATCAACTGATTTTCTTTGGTAATACCGATTGAGTAAAGATTTTTCCTATATTTTTATTTTCAATATAGGTTTCAATTATTTAATGATGTTATAAAGCATTTGTCTCACGACGATAAAGCGAAAGAAGAAATGTTAACTGTTTGTCGTCAATACTATCGTGGTAACTATCGAATGCTCAAAGATATTGATGAGTTTGCACAAAACTATCGTATACACAAATGTATTCAATGGTATACGAAAGAAACATTCGTCTATCAATTGCTTAATAAAGCGTTAAGAACACAAGATATCGAACAGCTTTATATATTTCGTTATTATATTGCTGATTTATCTAAAGAACTTGCACAGGAATACAAAAAGATCAAAACAGGAGAAAATAAAAAAATCTATCTATATCGTGGTACGGCAATGCATCAAAAAGAACTTGAAAAGTTGCGAGCAAACGTGGGAAAACTCATTGCTGCTAATGGTTATTGGTCCACTAGTCGTAATCGATTACGTGCGCTTGAATTCGCTAATAAGTTAATGCCTAAGCCAGATATGCGAGCATTATTATTTGAAATAGAATGTGATTTACATGATTCCAACGATTCGGTTATTTTTGCTGACATATCTCACTTAAGTTATTTTCCAACAGAAGAGGAACTTTTATTTGATGCAGGTTCAATTTTTCAGATTGGAGAAACTAAGGCAGAAGAAAGTGGTACTAATTTATGTGTAGTTCAGTTAATAACAACAGGAGAAGGACGAAAGCTAGCAGAAAAATACATAGAACAAAATCGGATAGAGATGGAAGAAGAGAGCCCAAGAATAATGCTTAGTACGCTTCTGAAAAGAATGGGAAAATTCGAAAAATCTTTACAATTTCTTCAACATCTGCTAAAGAATCCTGGTGAGGAAAACATGGGTTACATTCATAATCGGATTGGTATTGCTCTTAAAGATCAGCGTAAATATGATCTGGCACTAAAACACCTGAAGGAAGCATTTAGCCTAACCGTTTATTGCAATCCGCCGGACAGAAAATACTCAGCTTTTGTACTTCACAATCAGGGTTTAGTTTATGCCAAACAACGAAAATATAAAGAGGCATTGGATTACTATAATAGAGCAGTACGCATTTTAAAAGAAGAAACCGACGGTGCCGGTTCTGGTATTGCACAGTTTTACAATAGTATTGAGCGAATTTATTTATATCAAGGTGATTATGATCAGGCCTTTGACTATCAATCAAAAGCACTACGAATAAGAGAAAATTTAAACCCTGATCATGTTATGAATGCTTTTATTTACGTCGATATTGCTAACATATATTCACGTACGAAGAATTACGACGAAGCTCTCAAGTATCATCGTCGAGCGTTAGAACTTAGACAAAGTGTTTTGCTTCCCAACAATCATAATATTGCATGGAGCCTGCATCAAGTTGGTAGAATGTATTACAAAAAGCATGTTTTACAAACAGCTCTCGAGTATTATAAAGAGTCACTTGAAATGACAAAAAAATGTTTTACTCCTGCTCAACGCCATTGTGTTCCTGGTATTCTTATGGATATCGCTTTAGTTTATAATGACAGGCTCATCGAAGCAATTAACTATCGATTAGAAGCATTAAATGTCCAAAAAAAACAGAACCTATTGATTATTCATATTTGGTTCATATTCTTGACAATATTGCCTTTACATACAAATCGTTGGGGGAGTTTGATCGTTCACTTATGTACTATGAAGAAGCTTTACGAATTCGAAAAGAGAGCCTACACAATGACGAACTCCGTATTGCTGATAATCATGAGCATTTAGGTCTTCTTTGTGAGGACATGGGTAATATGGATTCTGCGTCTGAACACTTTCTCACCGCATTCAGAATATATGAAAATTATTATCCTTATCACCACTGGCTTTGTAGAAGGACAAGAAAAAATATTGAACGAGTTAAACGAAGACGTTGATGAAATAAAATTCGGAACATATGATATATTATTTGTAACTATCAACATTTATTCATCTTGTGCGTATGAGGGAGTGGGTATGAGTATTCTTTGTATGGTTCTACACCCAGATCCACCCACACCCTGGCGCATAGAGCCGTAGTTATTATAATTCCCCGAAAAAAACTATTATTTTGTTCCCTAATATATTAAAATTAATGTAAGAATTTCTATTGCAAAAACGTACACGAGGGTGTGAGTGTGGGTTTGGATGCAATGAGTCTTAGCAATAACCACACCCACCCTAGAAACCATTTCTTGTCCCATAAATAGTCGCGTTTTATTCTTAAATAAACGAACTGTTATTAAGCTTTTAAAACTATCATCTTCTACAAGTTACACTGTAACAAAGACAACAGATGACAGATGACAGCGTGGATAATTCATCATTTATGTTTTCTTTTTTCAACTTCAAAAACTTCAATATCCGCCTAGACTCATAAGTTCTGCCATTGTCAATTACAAAAAAAAATTAATGTATCTAGTGATGCATAAGTGTATAAGAGTCTAATTTGAACTCGACCACTTTTCGAACTGCTTCGTGCTCTAATGGCCCCATTGTTCGATCAGTCGTGTGATATGGACAAGAACTCGCGATATTAAAAGTCGAAGAATTTAATCCCAGTTGACCATCAGTTTTGACAGAAAATCCCGATGTGAATCTGAATGATTTTCTATCACCATAAATACTAAAGTACCAATCAGCTAATTGCTGATGTTGTGTACCATGTTGTGAACCCTTATATTCGTAGCAATCTCCGCAAACCAAAAGGACAATGTTTTTATATTGAGTATTAGTAGGATAAAAAACAAGACCTGTTTTTGATGTATTCTGACATAGACAGTTGTGTGTTGACCAACCATAACGAGTAGATAATGGAATCTTTTCTCCTACAGAGTCATCACCCGCAACTAATTGATTCTCATTGATAAACTGAAGTTTTAAATTTCTTGTTTTTCCAGCTGACATGTAACCAGCAATTCGTAATATAAAACTGCAAAAAAAGTTTGAAATACAAAACTACAAAGACAGACAGCTTGTGAGAGACTTTTTATGTGTCGACTGTGTATTTTGTAAGAAACGCATGTGTCTTCTTATCTGATAATCATGAATCACATTATGAGACTTTATTCTGGAAGCAAATAAAAGCATTGTTATCTATCATCGCGCAAAAAAACTGTTATTTCTATCTTCTTCACCTTACAAAAGAGTCGATCATATAAAACAGTGGTGTCATACTCGAAGTTAGATTCAGCCATTCCATTAAATTCCAAGAGTTAGGTACTCAACTTTTTGTGTTCCCAATTGTTCAGGTCTGAAGGCCTCGGTGGCTCCCATTCCCATGCGCCGCTATAGCCATTGCGCCTCAATGCAGCCCTAATCCTCGCGTAGTGCTGCACCTATTGAGTGCTATTACCATCCACATCTACACTCACACCCACTCTCAACGAAATGTCATATATTCGTTGCTTGAAAGTCATTTTATGATCGTTATGAGTTCTTGCGATACCCAAGAAAATATCGTGTTTTTCCAACGTCTCATGAAACATGATTTTGTGTATTTGTGGTAGAATAAATGAGATATAAGATAAATAACTTAAAATCTGAAAAGAACATACTTGAAGATAATTAGAAAAAATACAAAAAATGAAGAAGTTATCTCGAAAATGTTTACTGGAAGTAATATTTCTACAATTTTCACTTTACGGATGATGATCAGAAGGATATTGCATAGAATATATTCACTGAATAAGACATGTTTTATTCTTTTACTAGATATTAAACGCTGTTTTTGTTCTATTCTAGGCAAATACCGACATGGCTAGTGCACAAGTAAGGCAAAAGAAAATTGCTCTTTTGATTGGCAACAACTCATATAAAACTGCGAAACCACTCGAGTGTTGTATTAATGATGCTAATGATTTGTCAGAAAAACTGCGCTCCATTAGTTTTACTGTTACCGTGCTGACAAATGCTAATTTCGCTAAGATGCGACGAACTATTGATGACTTCACAGATTCCATTTCTAAGAACGATCTTGTTGTCTTCTTCTTTGCTGGTCATGGAACTCAATGGAACGATCAGAATTATTTACTGCCTGTTGATAATGATCGAATAAAAACTAAGGAACTTCTCAAGGCTAGAGCTATCAATGCACAAGATACCCTTGAACACATGTCGAATAATAATCCTGCTGCAACCATATTTCTTTTAGATTGTTGTCGTGATTACGGTATCAGAAATGAAGCTTTATTAGATACACAAACAAGAGGTGGTTCACCATCGCCTATCGGTCTTACCAGTATGGAGGCGCAGGGAGATTCCATCATCGTTTTTGCTTGTGCTCCTGGAAAATTGGCTCTGGATGCTGCCAAGAATGGGCGGAATGGTCTATTTACATTTTATTTGCTTCAACATATAGCGGAACGCAACGCAGACGTCGAAATGCTCATGCGTAATGTTTGTAGAGACGTATCACGCGAGACTAACGGAAATCAAAAGCCACATAGAGTCAGTTCAATCCAAAGTCAACATCTATCGCTCAATACAGTTCATGAAGAAATCGGTAGGTGAACTTTATTGCTAAAAGACATTCGACGTTGGAAATGAACTGTTTGAGCTCAAACTTGTTCGAATCGTGTCTGATGTCTCAGAGTCGAGTAATATTGGTGAGACAAGTAGATCAGCAATTGAGGGTAGAAAAAACAATTATTCGTTCCCTTACACATCGTTTATAGGCCCATATATGTTGTGTAAATTAAGCGATAGAACAAAAAATACTAGGGTGGTTGGGGTAGGTGTGGATTTGACTGTGCGTATTATTTCCATCTTACAACTACACATACACCCACACCCTCAATTAATATTCGACATGTAGAAGCAAAACAGAGTCTCAGCCGAAGGTCATGCTAGATGACTGACAGTTTTTAGTCACAACTTCATAGTTTGTTACTATTCTACTAGATTCGTTAAGCTGCGTGCGGATGCAGTTGTTTTCTCTGTGCAATTAATGGGAAAAAAACTCGGGTTTTTAAGCACTGTTATTCGATAATAGATATTACAACACATAGAGTTTTTTGCTTGTGTCTTTTTTCGGATAGAGTTGTTTTCCACACTTGTATGACTTCGGAAAATTGAGATTACCACTAGAAAAAGTCGCTTGAACTTACTTATAACTGAATTTTCTGTTAATTGTTTCAAATCCAACGTTAACACTTGAAGCTGCTCCTCCTCCATGTAAGTGTATTTAACTGAACTGTCTGATTCGAAATTGCGTATCTCATAACATCACGTTTCCATTGTACAATTATATGGGTGTAAGTAATGGTAAGGATGATCACTCCATTCAACTTGTATGCAGGTTCCCAACCTTTCTGTTCGAGGAGGGTCGGGTTGCACGCTTGAAGTATTACAGGAAATTCAGATCGTACACTTGAGAATGTAGGTGTGGTTGTGATGTGACTGATAGATAGTGAAAAGACATCCACATCCACTCTCACACTCGCACTCGCTCTCACACGCACCCGTAAGAAAGCGCTGTTCAAAGCTACGCAATAAAAGAACGTGTAAGAGAAGCTATACAAGGAATAGCGAGCAATCGAAGCCGTACTCCTACATTATCTAATATTATTGATCAAAATCATTCGTCTAAGCCATATTATTTCAATAATTCTCCATCATCAGATGATGTAGGTCGCCCAGACCAAAATACAACAGTATCTCTATATGAGCATCAAAGTGGACTTCAAGTAAAATCAGGCCGAGGATCAAGATTGACTTCTGATTATATGGCTAACCGTTTACCACCAACAGCGACAATATACAGCTATGATGATAGATATTCAACTCCATCAAATTATCAACATAAGAATCAATCAACTTCATCCAGTAAATTTTCACCATCAGTTCAAACTGGAACTAATACAAACAAATATGATGGTGGAATATTTGCCCAATCATACGATCCGCCTTCTTCAACCCATACTTCTTTCAATCAGCGTGACAATCATGTGCCAAGGCCAATACAATATTATTTTGGTTTACCCCGTGAAGACCAGTTATCAGACAACAATAACGATAGCGATGACGAATCCATACATATCGGGCATAGTCACCTAGAGTTACTCGCATATTCAAATACACAGCGTGATCTTAATTACCCGGTCAAAAGAAATCTTCATTGAACAAATAAAAGAGTAGATAACTGCAACAAAATACATTTTGAAATTCATTCGAGTTTCTAAGTTTTATTTCGAGCTTTCGGTGAAAATTTCACCATCATCTGGAAACAAGGGTGTGGGTGTGGGTGAGGTTATAGGTGGTGCTCTTTTCTTCATCTACACCCACATCCACTTGCACACATTTTAAAACAAAGTCTCATACTATTCGATACAGAATTAAATGAACTGCAAAATAATATAGAATTTTGTTTTGCACAATCGATTCCTGATTTAAATATTCAGTCAAAATACTCAGAAAATTCACAAATCAATAAATCCTATCTCATCATAAATAAATCTCTAGACCGTAGTATTTTTGAAGTCATATATAGAACACTTAGACCTAACTTCCGTCAGGGTCAGATCCAAAAGTCACATTATAATAAAAAAAAAGGAATTAATACTCTTTAACTTCAGTTCATTTATTTTTTTTGATCAACTAATTCTTCGAATTTTACAAAAATATAATGGACCAAAATTATTTGAAATATGCGGCAAAACAAGACTACCATAACGTATTTTAGAATGAAATTCAAAAAAATATGCATAATGTTTCTCTAATGATTGTGTTGAAATAATTTCACATGTAATTGGATCATTGTGTTTATGTTTACGATGTTTTTTATTTGAAGATGATGATGATGATAATGCTAAATTTTCAATAGCTCGTTCAACTACACCTTCATTTTGAATAGGTGCTAATGTACATGTTGAATAAACAACAATACCGCCTGGTTTACATGCTCGAATAGCAGATCTAAAATAGTTAATATATATCTAAGTGAAACTTTGAATATATATATACTCTAATAATTTTTGTTGATAACCAGGCAAATCAACTCGTTCTTGGATACGTTTTTTTGAAAATATATTAAATGCAGTTGTTAATGAATGACGATCACTAGTACATGGTACATCAACAAGTACTCGATCAAAACTTGCAGGTTCATTCTGACCAAATAAACAACCATCTCCTTTAACAAATCGAATATATTTAGTTAATGTATCTTTTGGTATCATTTGATTAAAAACATCTGTTAAACGTTTCGAACGTGAATTATCAATATCATTACATGTTAAATGAACTATTATTAGCAAAAGAAAATTTTTAAAAACAAAAAATAACAAGAAATATAGTTACTATAAGGACACATATGAAAAATATTTAATGCTTTTCCACCAGGTGCTGAACATAAATCAAGTACTGAATGAAATGGTTGAACATCAAGTGCAACTATTGGAAGAACACAAGCTCCATCCATACAATAATAATCTAAACTAAATAAAAGATACATATAAATAACCTATTAACACTTTTAACAATTTACCCAATAAACCTGATTCATCAGTTTTAGATGGTTCAAATCTTGACATATTACTACGTGGAAAAGTATAAACATGCCATGATGGAGGAATTTTTTGATAATCTCGTTCTTTATCATCATCAACAATAGATACAACATTTCCTTTAATAACAGATTGAACCTAAAAACACTTCGTCAATACATAGTTTATTAACTCTCCACGAAGATTACCTGTTGTTCTAATGCTTGTTTATATATTTCGTCGAGTGTTTTAACAGGATTTGGTTGATTAAATGTATTTATATCATCATCCTCATCAATTTCTTCATCAATGTCTTCTTGTTGTTCATCAACTAAATCACTTGTACCTAATAATCTTCGATTTTCTTTTTGTTCCAGCAATTTTTTTATTCCATATTCTTCATCATTTTTTCCAATTTTCTCTCGAATTAGATTAGAATCTTCACGTAATTTTGTATTATCAAATCTTAACATATCAACTGCACCTTGTTCAATTAATTTTTCTCTAACATTTTTATTTGAAAGTGAATATGGATTAATTAACGCTACAGGTTTAGGTAAACTAAGTAATGCAAGACGTATAGATGGCCAATGACGATGAAATATAAGTGGATAAGCAAAATCAAAATATTCTAAAGCAAGTTCATTCGAATGTGAACTATGATGTGATGAAAACATCTGATTAAAGACAAAAAAAGAATGTTTTCTATAAAAATATATCTTTTTCATGTTACCTACCCATTTCTTTTTAAATGGTTTTGCATAACGTACAAATGATAAATTTATTTGATTCACATTTTTTCTTAATATATGAATGAAATGTTTTTGATAGATCATCTGCAAAGAATGTGTATTACTACTTATCCAGGATAATTCGTTTTTCTTTTAAACGTATTAAAAAAATAAATAAACAAACAAACAAACAAACAAGAAACTATTCGATATACGAAGAAATTAACCTATTGTATAAC